ATTTTAGGTGGGACAAAAGCTTATTGACAGCAAATAACAACACAAAAGTTCTCGATTATTTCGACACCAGCCCTATGCAGTGTTTCCCTACTTAGTGCGTAAGCATTATATCTAGCAAGAGTACATGTAGTATACTAAGACTTAGACTATGGCCTGACTGTAGAACGTTCGGTGGGGGTGTCGAATCGAATAATTTTTATTCGATATAGATTACATGTAATTCTTAAAAAGTAATTTTTTACCTTACCACTGAATCGGAAAAAAACCTCTTTCCTGGGAAGAACCAGCAAGAAACTCACTGGGAGTTTTTTTAATATAATTTATAACCAAAATGTGAAAAATTGTACAAACTACTTAAAAAATTTATTTTAGAAACACCTTGGCACTTGCGGTTATTATCAACCATGCATTCATTCATATTATAATAACACTTTTTATGCAGTTATTGTTTAATAAAATTGATAGGTAAACTTGGTAATACCTTTTATATTTTCTGGGACTTTGTTGTAATAGCGTATTGCCCCAAGAATGAATTACTGACTTTGTGGAGTCGATAAACTGGTGTCACTAGCTCGTGTTTGTATTTAGTGTTTATATAGTGTTAATTAACTTTTTACCAAAACTACTTTGTTAGTGAACAAATATTAAATTTTCGTAAATATACTGAGAGGCGACGAATGTGCGAAGAATCTCCGGGAGAAAAACCGGCGACGAGGTTCGCCACCCGTCACGTTCTGTCTCCCGGAGGGGCGAAAAGTGGATTGCGGAAACCCGTCTGGCTACGCTGAATGTATGTGGAGGAATGAACGATAAGATGGATGAAGTATGCGAAATGATGAATGACAGAGGAATAGATGTGTTATGTGTGAATGAGACGAAACGAAAGGGAAAGGATGCCACTGCATATGGCACGTATACCGCGTATTGGTCTGGTGTAGGCGAGACCGAACGGGCATGCCAGGGAGTCGGTTTCATCCTTTCAGAAAGAATGGGTCAATGTGTGAAAGAGTATGAATGTGTAAGCCCGAGACTGCTATGGATACGAATGAAAGTGGGCTTAAAGAAGCTGTTCCTGCTAGGGGTGTACGCCCCAGACATGTCTAAGCCCACTTACATCCGAGAGCAGTTTTGGGACATGGTAAGGATGGTGTTGACAAAATGTAAGGAAAATGAAAATATTATTATGTTAGGAGACTTTAATGGAAGGGTTGGGGTGAAGAGGTCTGGTTATGAAAGGATATTGGGAACGTTTGGTGATGAAAGTATAAATGAGAATGGTGAAGACCTCCTCACCGTATGTGCGGAAAAGAATCTTTTTGTGACGAATACTTTTTTTCGTCATAAGAAGATTCACATGTATACATGGGAAAGAGGTGATGATAGAAGCATGATAGATTTCGTAATTGTGGATGAAAGAATGAGGAGCGCAGTCGTAGATATAAGGGTTTACCGGGGGTCCAACGTAGGGACGGATCATTACTTGGTCTTATGTCGAATTAATGGTCTTTTCAAGCGTTGGCGGCATCGGATATCTGTATCTACCACTGCGTTAAAGCGTATAAGAATAGAGAAGTTACATGATGAAGATGTGATAGAGAAGTATAAATGTAGACTGAGAGAAAATATTAGATGTTTGAATGAGTTGTGTATGAATGAGTTGTGTATGAATGATTTAGACTTGAACACTGTGTGGGATAATATTAAGAAAGGTTTGGTGGATACCGCCACCGAAGTATGCGGTGTAAGTAAGAGAACAAATGAAAGGAAAAGTAATACGTTATGGTGGGATGATGAGGTACGGGTGGTTGAATCAAAGAAGAAAGCATGGTTAGATTTACTAGCAACCAAAGCTGATAATTCTTCTGGTATGAATGATGAGATTGAAAGAAAAAAGGCAGAATTTAGACGTCTAAATAAGAGAGTAAAAGAAGTTGTTGAAAGGAAAAAGAAAGAAAGAACGGATAAGCATGATAGAAGGATATCTGATAATTTCCAGGCTAACATAAAAATGTTCTGGAAACTCGTAAGAACTGCCAGGGGAAATACAAAACAGCCTATAATAAATGCTATAAGAGACGAGAATGGATGTATTCTGAATAATGAAGTTTCGAATTTAAACAGATGGAAGGAATACTTTGAAAGCGTGTTTATGAGTGAAGAGTCGTATGAATTAAATGAACTAGAAATTCCGAAAGAAGTGGAAAGGGGTATGGAGATAAGTGTAGATGAAATAATGAAAGCAATGAAAAGCATGAAAGCAGGTAAGGCAGCTGGATATGATAGAGTATCACTCGAGATGCTAAGGGCTGGAGAGGGAGTGGTGGCAGGCCTGCTGTACACCTTGTTTAATTTATATTGGGAATTAAAACGGGTACCGGATGACTGGTGTAAAGCAGTTATAGTACCAATATATAAAGGAAAAGGGTCACAGCAGGACTGCAAAAACTACCGCGGTATCAGCTTGCTTAGTATTGTGGGTAAACTGTATGCTAAGGTGTTAATTGAAAGAGTTATGAAAGTAATTGATGGAAAAATTTGGGATGTGCAAACGGGTTTTAGAAAGGGAATGGGGTGTACAGATCAAGTCTTTTCCATGCGCATGATTGCGGAGAAGTTTTTTGGCCAAAAACCAGAAAGTTTTTTGTGCGTTCATGGACTTGGAAAAGGCTTATGACAGAGTGGACAGGAATGTGTTATGGCAAACACTGAACTCATATGGGTTGAGCGCTGGTTTGATACAGGCATTAAGGTCTCTTTATAGGGACTCTAGTGCTTGTGTCAGGATCAATGGGGTCTACTCGGACTAGTTTGGCATCCAAAAAAGGTGTCAGACAGGGCTGTGTGGCTTCCCCCTTGGCTGTTCAACCTATTTATGGACCGGTGTTTGCAAACTTTGAAAGATGAAGAATGTGGGTTAAGAATGGGCGAGTTAACCGTCAAATGCCTTTTGTATGCCGATGATCAAGTCATACTTGCGTCATCGGCGGCAGAGTTGCAAATGATGGTTACATTAATGAACTGGGAATTAAAAGAAAGGGGAATGAAAGTGAACGCAAGTAAGACGAAAGTGATGGTTTTTGAAAGAGAAGAAAGCAAAACGGTATGTGAAATAAGAATAGAAGGAAAGTTGATTGAGCAAGTGGATGAGTTTGTGTATTTGGGATGTGTATTTAGCAGGGATGGTAGATATGATAGGGATATGGAACGACGAGTAAATGCAGGGAATAGAGTGAATGGGGAACTACACTCTATTATGAAGAACTAGAATTTGTCAAATCAGGCACGTATGGTAATTCATAATGCTGTGTTAGTCCCTACTTTAATGTATGGTAGTGAAAGCTGGGTGTGGCAGAAGAAGCACGAAAGTAAAATAAATGCTGTAGAAATGCGGTCTTTAAGGAATATGCTAGGGTGTAATCTGAATGACAGGGTGAGAAATTGCGTGATAAGAGATAAATGTGGTATGCAAGATGATGTTGTGACCAGGATTAAGAAAGGAATGCTTCGGTGGTTTGGTCACGTAGAAAGAATGAATGAGGAAAGAGTGACAAAGCAAATTTATATGGCAGATGTGAATGGCCGAGTCGGGAAGGGACGCCCTAGGAAAAAGTTTATCGACCAAATTGGCGATATTTTGAAAATGGGCCACGTTAGAAGTACCCTTAACCGACGAGCATGTATGCGTAGATAATGGATGTAAAGGAGGCGAAAGAGGTATGTCAGGATCGTGCCAAATGGAAGTCCGTAGTCTCTGCCTACCCCTCTGGGTGACAGGCGTGAGTGTTTATATATATATATATATATATACATATATATATATATATTATTCTGGGCGTGGTCCAATTTGGCTGATTACATGCTAATATTATCTGTGAATTGATTCAAGCAATATCCATCAGCGTAAAAAAAATTCTCAGAGGCCATCTGCAGCACATTCTTGCAACTGAATAGTTTTTTTCAGTCTGTCCACAACATCTACACCTCCTTTTGTGATGTTGTAAAACTCCATAATTTCAGGCTTTTTCCGAGCTAAGTTAGAGTTTACGACACTGTCATGGTGCATCGTTGACAACAGTAGAACGACTTTATTCTTTTTTGTACGGTAAGACACTAAAGTGTTTTGATCTTTACCAAATGCAAAAAGTGACGAACACACTTCCCTATTTTTGGTTTTCAACTGATCAGGAATTTCAGGTTTATTTTTTCTAATGGTTCCGACAATAGTAAGTTTATGATCTTTTAGTAATTCTCTGGCTAAAGAGACACTAGTGAACCAATTATCCATGGTGACGTTGCGGTTCGTTCCTGAAATTGGTTCTATTAGTCTCTTCGCCAGAGCATTTGTTGAAGTGTTTACAAACATTGGTCCTTCAGGTTGCTTTCCAACATAAATCTCCATATTGGATGTGTAATAATTCCGGGCATCTACCATAGCAAATATTTTTATTCCATATTTGTCAGGCTTATTAGGCAAATACTGCCTAAATGAACATCTTCCTCGAAAAAGACTCCAGCATTTCGTCAATTGTGACATATTCACCAGTGCTGAAAGTTTCTTTGCATTTCTGAACAAATTTTTCAAAGACAAACCTGATTGGTGCCAACTTATCAATTTGCAGTCTTTCTTGCCGTGTTACAATGCTGTCAAACCTTAAACAGCGCAAGAGAAATCTAAATCTCTGTAGCGACATTACCGCCCTCGCAATGTCTATACCTGTCCCATCCGCTGAGAAAACCTCTTCGATTTTTACATGGCAGGACTTCTGTGTACCAATAAGGTATAATAACCCTAGTAATGCTCTTATCTCCGGTATATTTGTCGGTTGCGCATCTTGTGACCTTTCATATTTATCCTGAAGAGTCTGGATTTTTTCATTAGTATATTGAACAATATTATTCAGTACATCTATGGGAAAAAATAAACTCCATGCCTCCAAAGGGGTGTTGCAATCACGACCTATATATCGTGGTCCCAGCAAATGCGATATTATATTATGCTGTCAGGTTCTAACTGAGGGATTGGGAGCAGTTTTCTTGCAGCGATATATCGTTTCAGTATTTCCATTGCGTAGTTTCCGACGAACAACATAATGGTTCGATGTTCTTAGTTGGGCGAGTGGAACATTATCTTCATCATCGTCGTCAGAATCTAGTTCTTCGGGCAGTTCAGGATCCGATATACCGTCTTCCTCAGAGTCGGTTTCATGAGAACTTTCTTCAATAACATCAGGTCCATAATCAGAATTCTCACCATCTGATGTTTCATCGATCGGAACATCCACACTATCTTCGGACTCTTCTTCTAGCCATCGGACTATCTGTTGTTCTTTAAAATGTTCCATTTTCGGCTATATATAGCATATATATGTGTCTTCTATCAAATAAGAAAAAAGCTTACACGATCGGTCGCGTGGGGTCTTTCGAAGTCCGCGCGCAAAACAAACGTCTATCATGGACAAGCGCAGAGCGCTAACTGAGTGGTAATTGCACTATTTTTACTTAAGTATTTTTAGGTAGCTACTATAAAGCATAAGTTTATACCTTAACTATTAACAAAAAAAATGCCATATTTTCCAAACCCCGTGCTTTCAAAGACCCCATGCGACCGACCCAGGATTAAAAAAATATCCCATTTCCATTTGGAATAAACAGGCTATTTTCATGCTTTCCTATACGCTGCGTTTCTAAACGTTTAAGTAGATCTATCGTTTTCAAAACACAAACAATGTTTAACTTAATAATTATTTCTAACTTAAGAAAAATGTGTGGGTGGAGTTTTGAAAGTAGTGCTCGAATAAATATAACACAGCAGCCAGGAAAGTTGGACGCTTGCCAATTAATTTAACTAACTTATCTTCAATAGCCTATTTGAAAATGAATTTATAGCTAAAATAAAAAAAGCAGGTTGCACGGGAAACATGTACGTAAGATTTTTATTCCAGTCTTGAAACTTTTTAAAACAAACACTGGTAACTTTACTGACTTACTTTCTGTATATTTATCAAGATGACTATTGATATGAATATTACTCAATGAGATTTTCTTACTCATATCATCCTACCCTGCGCAAATGGTGGACGAAAGCGCGCTCTTATAAAGGCAGTCGCTATTCAGTCATTCTTTAGAACTATATAGAAAGCGTGCACGAACCCGTCACGGTTAGGACTATATAAAGAGCGCTTTAGAGCCTTTAGATCGGACTTACCCACCTAGTTGATCAAACTAGTTCTATTGTGATTCACTACTCACTTGTAGCAAGTGTGCCTAGCACACTTGCTAAGATTTAATGGAGTAGGTATCTATGTGTAAAAATAAAAGCACGCATAGTTGTGATAAAGCATTTTCGTTTATGTATTACCTGTGATTTAGCAATTTTAAGGTCTAAGATATCACAAAACATAGATAGGAATAGTGAAATATAATGGGGTGACAGAAAACCACACCAAATTTATAAATATAAAGAATACTGTAATTCGAAATTTAGAGATATGATTTTACCGGTGTAGTTTGCTCATTGTTGAGAGCGTACGTGTACATGTCTAGATCATATAGAGGTTTTAGATAGACGTATGAGACTATAGTGAACACCTAAAATAAGGCTGCAATTATAACATATAAAGGGAGTGCCAATACTAGGAAAAAGAAAACAGTAGTTGATTGGAATTATTACAAGATGCTTATAGAGAGTCCAGGATACTGTTTACTAATTAGTTACAATGTGAAAAACCTAAAAAGGCTATCGTGTGTGATCGTATGTGTGAGAGCAGATGTCGTTTTAAATCTAAGTTAAAATTGTGTCAGAATCGAGAATAGCAAATAAAAATTAAAATAATAGCTTCTCAATATTGTAATAAGGATAAATTTTGAAAATTTCCAAAAATTCTTCCAGTCTTCCTGTGAGCATTGGCAATCTTAGCGAAAAAAAAAGAAATTGTTGAAAATTGTAGGCAATCTGTTAAAATTGACTCTGCTTTATTGCCTATAAATTGTAAAAAATACACGGTGAGCGCAATTATTATAAACATGAAAAAGGGAGGTCTCCTGGGTATAATGATCTCAGCGTTGAGCATTTGCATTACGCCGGTGACCGTCTTCCTAGGGTGTTAGGTTTGTTCTTTTTACTGTACAACATAGATATCTGCTAAATGATTTAATGGGAACTATTGTAGGACCAATTCTCAAAAATAAAACTGGCAAATCTCGCATATAACCAATAATAGACCTATATCTTTGGCTACAATATTAGCAAAGATACTGGACGCTTTACTTGATCTGCTAAATGATTTAATGGGAACTATTGTAGGACCAATTCTCAAAAATAAAACTGAGAAATCTCGCATATAACCAATAATAGACCTATATTTTTGACTACAATATTAGCAAAGATACTGGACGCTTTACTTGATGCGTATTTAACCCTAGAAGCCTAATCTATCTCAGAGATACATAAAGCCTTAACATACGCCTCAGAGGCGTGCATATATAAATAACTATTTCTGGCTTAAAGTATAATTATTTGCGATTTTTAAGGACCCGTATGATTTATGCATTTATTCTAGTAACTAAACACAGATTCATTAATGGAGACTCTAATCACAGCTATTTATATTACAACAAAATAGAACAATCTGCTGATATTCTAACAAAAAAAGTATCTTCTGATTAATCAACGGTAACATCATTTAACTATCTTATAAGTTTTTTACTATTTAATGACTTTTTCTTAGCACAATTATTAAATTAAGTCAGACTTTCACAGACTAGCTTAAAGCTTAGAGCAGTCTACACACACATAAACCTTGTGCTCGCGACATACTGACTTTTTGTACTTATAACACACTATTTAGTCATTCTCTTTTTTTGTAAGAGAAAAACGTGCAGCATTTACGGTTTTTGGGCTCAGGCTCTCCCTTCTGAACTTCATTACTTGATAAGTAGATTTTACGAGAATATGCCTTATGTATTCTCGTAAAGATCTTTTCAAAGTCGGCGCTTCAAGTCTCATCTCCATCCAACGCTTGGCCAAATCTGTGTTGAGCTGCTTCAAGAACTTTCTTCTATGTAGGTTTTTTCACTGCTCTTGATCATATTAATTGCTGAAGTTCTCTGAGATGATTGACCCTTGGTAGTCGACCAAACATTCGTTCTAACCGCGAAGTATATTTCCGGAGACACGACGTATAAGTCTTGAGATGTCAAAATTCAAGAATTATAGGTTGAAAATGAGCAGGAGTAGATGGGTGAGCTGCTGCAGCAGTTGTTGAGACAGTTTCTTCAGTGGAAGCAGATCGTAAAGAGAAGATCTCGTCAGTAATATAATCGTTCTCGTCTTCACTTAGAACATCATCAACAGCTTAATGATCCTCCTTTTCTGACGCTGAACCTCTCAGAGAACCATGATTTTCTTCATCTTATATCGCCAAAACATTGGCACTGTTTAGCCGTTTTGATCTTGATATATTTTATCTAAAACAACGTCAATATAACCATAAAAACACAAAAAACTAATAATAGCGTAATCACACAATCTAAGTTAAAAGTTACACAAAGCCTAAACATACGCCTCGCAGGCGTACTACATGTCAATAAGTCAAAATCGGCGGGACTTACCTTAGCGATACGGGCACTATCAGCAGGCTCTAGGAGGCCAATGAGTTGGCTAAGCCGCACAAATCGCCGACGTCACCCGTTATAAAAAGATAGACAGTTTTCGAATGCGTGTACGCCTCGCAGACGTAGATAAGGCTTCTAGGGTTAAAGAAAAAAAAATGCAGCTACTCGATGCCCAATTCGGTTTCCGAACTAAGATTTCAACAGAGAGTGCCATTTTGGCCCTCAAGCGAAATGACGAGTACTACACGGACAGAAAAACATCTGTATATGTTTGTTTTCTAGACCTATCGAAAGCCTTCGAGATTGTGTCCTACGAAATATTATGAAGTAAGTCGAATAAAACCGAGATGCCTGTTGAACTTGTCGCGATGTTTGAGTATTGGTACAGAAATCAAACAAATAATGTCAAATGGGCAAACGCATTTCGGTTAGAATTTGGGGTGAGACAAAGGGATTTAAGCTCACCTAACCTGTTCAACCTGCACATTGACGACTTAATTGGTGAGTTAAGCAACACGTATACGGGATGCTATGTAGATGTAGTATGCTTAAACAATCTAAGTACGGCAGATGATATGGTGCTACTGGCCCCGTTTGTCAGTGCTCTTAGAAAATTGTTATGTTTTTTGTGAGGATTATGCTGTTAGATATACAAAATATATAAACATCTTACATTAAATAAACACCATAAACTGGATTTTCTTAGAATTGTACACTAAACCATGTCTACATGGTTAAGTGTACAATTCTAGTTAGTATTGCAAAACCAGTTATAGTGTTTAGAGCTGGAAAAAATAATTCCAAGAATGTTCCCTATATAGTATTTATTGGTACTACTTATTCAGAGTAAGAGTTTAAACACCCAGGCCACTACAATGCTGAAAATTGTGAAGATGATATGGTTATCAACAGAAAGAGCGAAGGTCACTGTCGCTCCGTGGAAATATGTTGATTCGTAGGTTTGCACGGTGCACCAATGAAGTCACAATTAGATTATTTAATACCTACTGCCAATCTTTTTATGCATGCAGCCTGTCGATATCATATACAAAGCACGCTTACACTGATATTTATGTATTATATTGTAGCGTTACTTACGAGCTTAAGGGTTCGTGATAATAAAAACTGCCGATGGAATAACTAAAATTAACACTTTAATTACCGATACCTGGTGGATGTTCTACAGCTATACCATAATGATTGATCAGGAGGCCATCTGGGAGTTAAACGAACTCTACTGCAGATCCGAGAACTGTTTTACTGGGTCCACTGTCGAAACGATGTCAAGGACTGGTGTGGCAAGTGTACAAGTTGTGCAGCTGTAAAGGGACCTCTGACTCATAGTAGAGGTGCATAGAAGTTGTACAATGTTGTTGCATCATGTGAGAAATTAACCATAGACGTGGCGGGACCGTTTCCGGAAAGTGAAAGTGGTAACAAGTATTTCATGGTTGTGATGGATTACTTCACTAAGTGGCCAGAAGTCTTCGCCATTCCAAATCAAGAAGCTTCAACAGTTGCAGATAAACTAGTTCATGAAGTCTTCTGCCGTTTTGGAGTACCTTTAGAGATTCACAGCGATCAAGGAAGAAATTTAGAGTCTCAAATATTCCAGGAAACTTATTATTAGCGGAGTTATGGGTACTCATAAAACAAGAACGACTTCTAATCAACCGCAATCAGATGGAATGGTAGAACGATTTAATCAGACATTGGAGAGGTACCTAGC